AGGTTGAAGCAATTGAGTTTACAATGGCAAAGGGATGTATGGGATGGGAATCAATTCAAAACCTTTACATTTGAAAATTTGGGAAGAAGATTGAAAAACCATCAGTCATACCTTGCAAACTGGAGAGATTTACCTGGAGTTACCATTCCTGTAATTTGTAATGTGTTGGGTGAAATTTTACTGGCCAACCTTGAAAAACTGCAAGCCAGGTATCTATCTCTGTTCTAAGGCTGGGAATCACCCCTGCCCATCCCTTCCTCATGAATATGGTACTGGATACACTCAGTGATGTATTTTATTTTCTATTTCTGACAAAACCTTAACTGGTAACTTGAAAAAGGTTTTAGGTCAAATCAAGTGCTGTACAAAAATGGTGTCACAGTCTATGTTGAGAGGATCATTTTTAGCTGGCCTTCTCCTATGTGGCTTCATCACCTACCTTTCATCACCTGGATCATCTCTCTTCTCTTTCCATCCATTCTGCATGACCTTGGGAGTAAGTTGGACCATCCTCTACTTTATATTAATTTTTGAGATGATGAGTGATGCTGAATTATGATCAAAACCATACATGGTGATGCTTCGATGTTGAAAAAACCTGTATCAGTATTGATCAATACTAACATAATTGATTCTATGATATATGTGTAGGCCTATGTAATTCCAAAGACAAAAACATTTAACACTTTCCAGGGCATATTAATATGTGAGAGGGGGTGAGAGATGCTCTGAACTCAAGCCAAAACTTACTTGTAACTGAGCCTCTTTGCTATATCCCAGACTGGATGACAGTTCATTCTTTTTATTGGACTTCTGTTTTCCCTCAAATCGTTGCTGCACATGCTGCTACAAGTGCTGAATGAATTTCAAATAGTGTCTCCAAATGGAGACGCTACCATGGAAAGGGATAATGAAGAATGATTTCTGATTTTATTAGTGGCGTAGCTAGGTTTTCGTCAATAGGGGGGCTAAGCGGAATGTTGGGGCTTACTTCGCCTTGTCAGGGTGGGGGGGGGGGGGGGGGGCTGAGGCCCCCCCGCGCTACGCTACTGGATTTTATCCAAAAGAGTTTTATTCTGCCTTGGATCCTGGATATGTCTAATCCTGCTAAGTTTGCAACTGGACGTTTTGGCCCCTGCGACATAAAAATGGGAAAAGGTCCATTCCTAAAAGTGGTAATTTTTTCATGGAACATCGTGCCCATTTTTGACAACGAGGACTCGCAGGATGTATCAATTTTGCACAATATCGTTGGTGTTGTCAGGCTAAAAATTCAGCTACGCCTGCCTAATTTTAATATATAAAAATTTGATGTAAAAAATTGATCATAATTGATTATAGGCTCGAATAAGTCTTCGAACTCCCCTATATTGGTTGGACTTTTTTTTTCTTTTCAATACCCACGAGTCGTCCAAAAACCGAAGTTGCTGATGGATTTTGAAGGATAGGAAAATTATTCTATCCTTCAAAATCCTTATCCTTCGACAGTATCCAAAATTTTCTCCTCTTGTCTTGGGATTTTTTTTTTCGGGAGGGAATTTTGCTACTAGACTTATTTAAGCAATTAAATGCTGAATTAAATATAGCCTAAGATTATTCAAATTTTAAATGTACGTTGACAAGCAGCCAACATTTTATCTAGTGCCATTCACCTAGAGACTGAACAGGTTTTTCCACCTGAATGTGGAAAGAGAAAAGTCAAATGCGACACGGAAATTCATATACGACCTGTTCGGCAGCTGCTAGGGAAAAATCAAATGCGGCTAGAGGAAAAGCAAATGTAACAGCTTTGATGTTGCCTGCTTCAACAGAAACTAAAATGCAGCGTAGTTCTGGCCATCAGATTAAATCAAGGGAACGGGAGGAAAATGTATCACATCATTAGAAATGGCTAGGAATGGAGTGTGCCACATATTCTTGTGGGCCTGTGAGCTCCGGTCCCTGCTCTATGTCAAGCAGCCCTATATTTTTCTATCTGACACATCAAGGATGTCCTGAAATCATAAACCCTCTGGTAGGATTAGGATCGACGCTGGTTCTAGACGCCACTCCATGAATGCACTATTGGATTCTTTGGTGAGCGTGAACATGTTGTGAGCTCCGCCATCACTTATATGAATAATTTTTACAGCTATTCAGCGGAACGATGCAGTACATTGCTCAGCGTATAGATAAGGCCCGGGTTGTGGATTTAAAAAATCCAATAAAAGTGCATGATAGTGACAACGGGAGATGAAGGGGCTGAGCGTATAGAATGTTCCCTCCCCTCCCTTCCAGAAGGTGTTTTTAACATGCGAAAACTGCTAATTCGGAGTTATGGGGAACCTAATGGCTCATGGTTATAACAGACCGGCACGTAGGTGCAGGCGAAAGTTCGGGACCGTGCATCGGGTAGATGAATGCGGCATGAAATAAATTTCCTCATCCTTCATGTCTCAAGGGAGGAAAAATGATTATTTGCATTTCCTGGTTCGATACGAATTGTATGTTTCCTGAGATGTCATACTCGCTAGGAAGGCAGAGGGAACGTCTCACAAAAGATGATCAGAAAAAAATTTTCAAAATCATCGGCTGTGAGACAAGATGGCACAGTAGGAATAGTTTCTTTGAGAAATTATTGGGTTCTAACCAGAACGTAAGTGGGCTGTTTACCCAGTTACTATTTCGGGATTTTCTTTGCCGCACAGTTAAAAAAAAAAATTGTTTAACCCTTTCAGACCCCGCGTCCTTTCCAATGGACATTGCATTTTCATTGTTTCTATGGTAATGTCTTGGGATTCTCGTTTCTTTGCACCCCAAATTACGCTATAATGGACGCAATTATGTAATTCGAGTCTGGTCTGAAAGGATTAAAATGCAGCCACTGACAGAAAAGATGTTGGAGTATGCAGCTTTCTTCCCTAAGCAACTGCTGCCATTGATATACTCTGGAGATGCCGAAAGAAGCGTTGTTATTGAAAACTGACACTGGTTTATATGTACTGGGTCGGGCGGTTGCGCGTGTTTGTACCACAGCTCGCGAAGTAGTCATGAGTGACGTTGAGGAATGACGGCGCCAGACACCTGTCTGGAAGAAAGAAGAGATTGAGAGGAGATTGAAAAATCAAATTTCTCGGAAAGGAACCATAAGACCTTGGACGGATAAAGGGGATTTCCTGTTATCCCCCTCCATGTGCGAAGAGCAGTCTTTTAATCCAGAGCTTTCATCAATCGAAAAATAATATTTTCCCTCTCCTCGCGTTTCCAGCAAAGGGTAAAAGATAATAGCACGGGTTACCTAAGCGCGTGTCTTCTCTCCACTCGTTCTCTTCCGATGAATGCTTGGAAGAGGGTGGGATGGAGCTACGATCTCAGAATAGAGAGACAGGGGCAGACGCAGGAACTGGAGGTTCTTCGCAGAAAGAAAAAAATACCGATGATACGGTGGGAGAAGAGAAATATAATTTGCGGAGGAGTAGCTGTTCCTTACGAAGATCCTTCTCTCTTTCATTTTCCCTTCCCCTGCACTGTTTCCCTCTTCTAACTAACATGCGGCTCTTCGGGCATCTGCCAATTTTGATCCCCCTTCCCCTCATTGTTCCCAGACTTGAAGATCTCAGGCCGATTTGAAGGGCAGGCGGCCATCACTGTTGCAAATGAGACTGAGGCATGGCATTCACTGAGGCGCACGGTAGTCATGGCCAATGTGTGTTCAGGATTCGGATGCTCTGAAAGACTGCTGACTGAGTCGGATATCACGTATTACATTGATGAATTGGGCTTGATGGCTATTGACCCTTTAGAGCAGTGATGCACAACCTGCGGGCCGCGGGCCGCACGCGGCCCGCGGAGACCTTTTTTGCGGCCCCTTGGATGCCTCCGGTGTCTGAAGATCCAAATTTATATGCGGCCTATTTCGGCTCACGTTCGAGGGTCTGCGGCCCTCGAAGCCCTCGAACATGAGCCGAAATCTCAATTTGGCCCTCTAGGGGGAAAAGGTTGTGCACCACTGCTTTAGAGGGATCTAGCCTTTGGTATGACGGATTTTTATTTGCCCCATGTAGATCCTAGGCCTAACTGCATGGGAAACTGATAGTGCACCCTCCATTAAGTGCAATAAAATTAAAGACTGGGTTTCTACTCCTCAAAGACGGAAAAGGTAATCGATTTTCAAAACACCACGAATTTTCAAGACACGGAGGGTTTGTTTCATCAACTGGATTGAAGTCAGGGGACTCAGGCATACACTGTAAGGAGGGTGGAGTAGCATTTTCCACCCATGAGGATCGATGAGTTCTGTGGCGATGCCAGATTTGGGTGAGCAGGTGTTGTCCTGCCGGATGATTGGGATGTTGTTGAGCATTTGCGATTGCTGTTATCCGAATTGCAGACCGTAATTTCTGTTGTAGAATTGTCCTTTAGAAGTCTTTGTTGCGTGTTTGTCGGGAACATGATTAAAGAGGACGTGCTCATTTTTTGTCGGCAACAATGAGAATTTGTTCCGACTCGTGTACCATTGGCCATATCTATCCAGCGCCCTCAGTAAATAATTTATTCCGCCTAGAAAAATAATATGGAAGTGTTCGGACTTTCTAGTATATCAGAATGTATAATATATTAGACCGCATAAAAACCTGGTAGCTTCGCGACGATGCTGGAAAAAAGTATTGTGCATTACTTACTGAATGGCCTTCGTTTTACAAAATAAAAGACCGGACTTTCTGTCTGAAATATTCTATTCCAAAAAAATCGAGCTCTCCCCTGAGCATCTTCAGTGGATATAGCCCTTTCTTTTCCCGTTCATTGCTCGAACTTCCTGCCGCGATGACGGTTAATTTAATTTCGCCTGAGTGCTCTCTTTGTCTCCTCTGATTCAGTATACAATAAATGACAAATCGTGTAGGAGTTTCGACGGGGCGATAGAGTTAATGGAAGGATCCGTCAACCCGCTTTCAATCGCGGATTTTCCCCCCTTACATTACAGTGCATTAGTGGGCAGAAAGAAATCCCCGAGAGAATCCATGGAAGTAAGATTTCTAGAAAATATGGAGGGGGGGGGGATGTTTGGGTTGCTTTGGATTGCTGGATTGGATTGATCAATAGGTGGACCCAGCTCAGTTAAGGAAATTTACTGACTAGAATCCTGCATTATAAATTCCCATTTGGTCCAATTGGGACTGCCTTGACAGAACAGAGAGGCGCTCCCCTTGCATGTTCATGACGACAGCAGCCTAGGTCAACCAGTCTTATTTTATTTTTGCTTGCGTTAAACTATGTCGCATTTTTTTGGTAAGGGGTGCGCCAAAACGCTTTCTTTTACTGTTTTTGTTGTTGCTCGAATTTGATTATCATCCTATTTCATGAGGTAACCCGTTCCCAGGACCAACCTCGACTCTGACTACCGGTACTATTGACATCTGTATTCGGGATCGAGAGCTCATTGTCAACGATCTGGCATTTGAAAGGTTGCCAGGAGGAATATCTGCAATATTACATCATATGCAAGTGCATCTGGAGTCTTAAGTTATGGAAATACTGTTAGTAAGGCTCGAACTTCCTAGTTATGACTCGTTTTTCTTGCTTGCCCATTGTCGCGAATATTGGTGAGATGACAGCCTTTCTTCTTAGGAGCCACTGGGCAAAGTTCTATTTATTGAAGCATAATTTGGTGATGGGGACTATATCTAGCATTTTTAATGGGAAGACTAGCATATCGGCATAGTTTGCGGTTGTTTCGTTGAATTGATTCTCCATAGGGCATAGGGACCCCCCCCCCCCAGCCCCTTCGTCCAGTAACCCCTCGCTTCCCAGTCTCCTCTGGGAGCCCCACCTCCCCACACTCACTCCATACGAATAAGTTCTAGATCGGTTTTATGAAGGATATTACTACAGAATAAAACAATGAGATTTGAGAACTTTTGGGGGGGTTTTGGGCATAAAAATCCGATATCTAGCAATGAGAAAGCAGGCAACCTGGTATGACAGCAAGGCTATCCCATTTGAATTTCCTTACATCTGATATTTCTTCTCTAGAGGTCCTGCATCCAATAAGCCTATCATTTGCTTTAGCTTTTGTCGTTTTAGACTCTCACATGCAGGGCAGCGTTTAAATTGAATTTCTTTGCCACATTTGGATTGCTTATGTTCATATATTTCTTGTAAAAAGCCTGTAAAAGGTAGCACCAGAATGGAACAATCAGCAGGATAATGGGAGAAAAGGGAGAGGGATACAGGAAGGGTGAGTCATGGCGGAGAGCCAAAGCAAAGGACTAGACAGAAATAGTTTTTATTTTGTTTACACTAGTATCGGCTTGAATTAACGACTCACCCTTCAGAATCCCACATCCAATCCTCCCCATCAAATATCTAAGGCTCAATTATTAGCAAGGCGATATAACATTTCCTTAACATCTGCTGCGGATATCCTGCAATTGATAAAGTAGCGTTGCATCTCTAAAGAAAATAAATGGATTTCATGCCTATGGAAGCTGATGAGACTGACTGAAAATTATTCCAGTACTGTGTCCTGATGTACTTGGGAGTCCTCATCTACCAAGAACACGATCTGATCTCTGTGCCTCACCAAAAGAAACTCACCTATCATTGGGTCATTCAGTCTCTCAGTGCCACCTCCATCCTTCTGGCATATGCAGCTATCTACTTCAACAAAGAGCGCAATGATGCTGCCCACCTGGTTACGTGGCACGGGACAATGGGGTTCGTTGCTGTTCTGGCCCTCTGCGTCCAAGTAACTGGAGGAGCATGCATTAAGTATGGTCTAGTTCCCAGTCCCCAGCTGTGGAAAAAATTCCATGCAGTTGCATCAGGTATGACTTTTCTGTTTGGATTATTGGCGATGACTCTTGCCTTGAATTCAAACTGGTTTACCCTTCGGACTACGTGGACAACGTGGATTCTGTCAGCTGCAGTAATTGCTTTCATGGGAGGTGCTTATTTCCAGCTTGTTACGAAGTTGTATGTTCCCAATCTGTCCAAGCAAATCAAACTGCAATTCAAGAAACGTTGATTAACCATCCTTCAAACTGCAACTGTTGTCTAAACTGGGCCAAAGCTTTTCAGAGTTTGTATGATGTGTGTTTGTTGAGTGCACGTCTTGTACTGCATTGGGTTTCTTTGAATATTGCAATATGCATGTTGACCGTTATCTGGGGTTCATTTATTTTATTATTCCATTATTTTCGATGAATAAAGGGACAGAGTTGGTTAATTTTGCTTCATTCTGATCCAAGTCGTGCAAAGTAGGTTCGTTCGTGGGTTGATTCTCTAGAAAATAATGGGAGGAAGGAAGGAGAGAGGTGAGTAAATTGAAGCTCTGATTATGAATATCTCGCTGAGTCGGTGAATAGGCCCACTTCACAAAGTATGAAGCACTTGATTCGAAGAGCTCCTGAAAGATCTTAATAAGCAAAACACGCGCCAAATATATTGCTATAGAATTACCACCCTCGAAGATTTTTATCTTACGAACATGGGCTTTAAAAACTGCTGTGCGTGGTTTCCTGATCCTCAACCAGACAGATATTCCACGTACATGAATCTTTATTGAGTGCTATAAACTTTAAGAAAGGTATTGAAAACTAAATGAGACGGATAGGACAATGTCAGAAAATTGGGATATACACGATGGCTGGAGACGCAGAGGAACGTGTCGCAGGGTGACATTTTGTTTGTTAATTGCTAGAATAATGAGGGTGCGACATCCAGCGAGGATAGGAGAGGTTTATGCATTATAAGCAAAGTTCACAAATTTTTGGAGATGGGTGCATAATATTTTATAATGAATTCATTTTACCAATGGAACTTCTCTTCATTTCCGCGGTGATGTGTAGAGAGACGCCTCTTCTTGGAAAGCGATATTACCGTATAATAACGAATACAGTATGGATTTTCCATCGCAAGTTGTCATTGGATGTGCTCCAAATCCGGCTCATTGTTCCGGAAACAAGGGCTTGGGAGAAAACGGACACGCCACTATCCAGGTGAAATGGGATTTCTGCTGAGATTTGAAAGATATGAGAAAACGTGGTCAAAATTTAGCCTCGGTTTGCAGGGATATAACTTTCACCTTATCTCGTGTTTACAGTCCCACTTTCATGAGCTTATTTGGTTTCTTGTATGGGAACTTCGCATAAAAGGGATACCCATTCCCATGGTTGAAATACGAATAAAATTGTAGACTTCCCCCAGATACATTTAATGTAAGCTGCTGTGTTTATTACTGAGCAGTCGTTCGATTGATTCGAGCGTTAACAGTCGATTTCAAGTCATATCCTTTTTGTAAATTTAAAGTCCAAGTTCTTGTTTTGGACTCTTTGCAGAAGCAACAACTCAGAATCAAGTCTCAGTGACGGCCCCTGTTGGCTAAGTGTCACATTTCTCTCACGGAGCTGTACTTTCACAGCAACTCGCTCTAGACTATTGATGTACTTCATCAGTGCATACTATGTCGGCAGATGAGAAATGAGTGTGACGCATCTAGTGGAATCCCTCATCGCATTTCGCAAGATGTGGGAATGGTCATGGTGCTAAGTGAATTCGGCGCATTCTGATCAAGGAACGGCGTCCTCTGCTGAAGCGGAGAGTGGCCAACCAGATGGAGGTGCATCTTCGATGTCTTCTCTCCGCCCTTTGATGGCCGTATCCTGCTTTCGAACAGTGTGGTATGAAGGCGAACAATTCTCCTAAACAGTCTGGAAACAGGTGGATTTTCTTTGGAACCTTCTCCAACAGCAAGTAGAACTTGGCCAACATCTGAATGTCATGTTTCGTAAATGATTTATGAGCAGCAGTGACGCTCATAGCGACTAAAGCTAAAAGACGATTGCGATTGCTCTAATAGGTTTTTTTATTTTAAAAAATTTTGACCCAGACATGAGTACAACTTATTAAAATCTGAATGCCATTACTGGAGTGTTACTTTCTCTATCGTACTATACAGATAACTTTCTGAACAACCTCTGCACGAAGGCCCAAAGGCACGATAGTGCTCCAGTCCAAGACTCGTAGTACAAAATAAACATTTTCCATACAATTTCCAACCGTTCGAACTCGTGTTCATGCTCTAGGAGGAACTACGAAAGGAAAACATGTTCTTCCCTAATCACGGTCTCTGAGTGTACAAAGGGGTTCATCTGTAACAGTCAATTACTTTTGGAAATCTGAAAGTACGAAGTTGAGGGTATGGGAACAGGACACAGTTCACCCTGCTATCGGACGTACGGCTACAACTGCAACTGCTGCATTGATTTGGATAATTGAGGTACTTATGGACATCTTTCCTTCAAGTGAAGATAATTTTCGACGTCTAGCATTATCAACTTTTATTCTTATTCTCATTGTCCCTGATTTTATAAGGGGGATCAATGCTACCCCATCACAATTCCAGTTTCTCATTTTTACGACGTAGAAACATCAGAAAGTTCCGACCCATCATGAAATCACGACTTACGCGTCATTGCAAGGGAGACTAAACTAAGACACTCCTTTTCTTCCTTTTACTTTACGACTACTTTGTTCCTTTTACTTAACTTCTGAACCAAAAAAAAATAGAACTGGAGATGGCACGGTCCTAGGAACGCGGTACGCATGCGCGCTGAAATTGGAAGCCATACTGGTTAGCATCATGGCGTCTCGTTAGCATAGACTCCCATAGGATTTTCACAATTTTTCATCTCAGCTTTCTCCTAATTACTTGCACAATGGGAAGTAGTCTCGGGACTGCAAATGGAATTGGCCCGCAGTGGAATCGTTCCAAGACCTGGAATCGGTCGTAGTAGTATGTGAGCGAAATTATTAATAAAGTTTCAAGCGAGCCTGTGCAGTACATTGGCTGGGTAACGAGACAAATACCGCGGAATCATTGGAGCCATTGGCGCCGACTTCTAAAAAATATTGGTAAGGCAAGTTCCTAATACCCCTGAAATAACATTAACAGAATTATTCCAGGATCCAGTGGGGTAGCACATTATTATTATGGTGCCAGAGTGACGAGCGAGGGGGAGAGGTTTCCTGGTTGGACGTAGCCGCGCCCTTCCACCCTATATCTTTACGTGGTGATAGGGATCTCCCCCAATTGGAGCTCTAAAAAATAGGAAAATCGTATTTTTTCTTTCCTTCGTGAAACAGCTTTTCCCCCCAAATTTTCCATGTGCCATACTTTTGTTGTACTCGGGCCATTCATAGGGGGCATTGCCCCCCAATAATATAGTTAGCGGGGGAGGAGGGGGGGGGGGGGGGGGGCCCCCCCTTGCCCCCTCCCTCGCTCGTCACTCTGGCACCATAATAATAATGTGCTACCCCACTGGATCCTGGAATAATTCTGTTAATGTTATTTCAGGGGTATTAGGAACTTGCCTTACCAATATTTTTTAGAAGTCGGCGCCTATGACTGAAGCAGCCCCACAGAACACGGAAGTAAGACCCTCTATCACCTCCATCATATATTTCGTCGTAGAAAATGGAGGTGGAAAATGCAGAAAATCCATGAGTGAATAGAGAATAGCCGCCACGATACCAACCAAGACGACATAAAAAAAAAGCAGCAGGCCCATCTCATTGCGCACCGTCTCCAGTTCTATTTCTTAGCCCAGTGGTCTTTACTCACAGAAAATGCTATGCTTCGTGCTCGTCTAGAGATCATGGGGAGGGGGGAGATCCATTTCCATACATTCCTCTGTTGATACTCCCGTGGATCCCATCTGCTTCCCTTTCCCTTCCTCCACTTTCAATTTCCTTCTCGTATACATCTCTTCTCCCTCCCAAAGTGCAAAGACAGGATTGAGGCGCAGATAAACAGAAGCAAGAATCGAGATCGCGAACAACCCAGGGTAGGATTGAAACTGCAGAATGCAGAATAATTCATCTTGATAGCTCTGGAAAGGGAAAGGAACAATGAAGGGACGGCAGAGAGCAGTCCCGGCGCATAGGGATCCCCATGAGCTAAACGACGACGGAAGTACGTCCCGAGTGGAAAGCGATGAAGCGAACTCGATGCACTAAGAAATAAGACTTAAAGAGAGTACTTCTTTGACCTTGTAATCGGATTTCGAAGATCCTTTCGCTTCCCAATGCGAGTGTCATGACCGTGTCGGAAAGGTCCAACGAGGGTTTTTTAACGATTCTAGCAGTACAGCTTTGTTAGAAGTTCGACAAATTATTTTTTGTTGAATCGTTCGACAGGGTGTTTGGGGCGTTGATGAAAATGACCTCTACCACATGATCTCTGGGACAATCTGTTATTGGCGGAGGGAGGCGTGTTCCAATACTTTTGGCAATATAGTGTATTTCATTCGCATGATGCACAAGTGACTGAAGATTGGGAACGACACAAGCTTCCATTTGCATCTTCATAATTAGCAAGTGCACCATTAGAAAATTTCGGTTTATATCAGGCACATCGCCTCATTCCCTGTATATTAGATATTGACCTATATTACTTTCTTCAGGCCAAAGTACTCGTAATGGTCGCGCCTTCGACTCCCACATTCTGAAGTGGTTTAACTCCACAGATTTCAGAGACTTGCCATTGTGACGTCACTGCCAACTTGAGGCTAGCATAATAATTAAATAAAAGGAGAGTCTTAGTTGGATGAAAAAATATGAAAGGCACCTCAAACCGGTATTAAATAAAATGAAACCTACGTTTCGAGGGCACAAGGATAACCATTTTAGGTATAAACCATAGGAAGGGGATCTTGTGTCTTCAAAACGTCAGTTTTCTTTTACTCAATAATGAACTTTGAGCTACCTATTTGACTTTTTTTGTACGACTAAATTCCTCCGGCCCTTTGTATCCATGCGGATTCCGGTTGCAGTAAGTGTAGTGGTTTGGCGTGTGATTGAAAATTCTCATTAACTCGTGGAGAAGATTTGCGCAAGACAGACAATAATCTTTCCGCTGTCTTAATGCACTGCTCTCAACTGATAAGCTGTTATCTCGCACACAATTTTTAATATTGCAGTTTTTTGTATAGTATTTCTTGAACTGCATGATTTCCTACGCCAACTTCATCTATCCACTCCAATGTCACCCGCCGATCAGCCTCGCCAATTGCATCGACCTTGGCAATGTTCTCCGGTGTTGTAGCCGATGCAGGGCGTCCCGATCGATCCGTGTCTTTTATGCTTGTTCCACAGTGTGAAAAGCGAGCCCCACCCACCGTTGAATTGTTCGCAAGTTAACGCAGTCGTTCTAATACACTGCATGCATATGGGAGTGGATTTTCAGGGAACACATTTTTCTTTGACAGGAATTCAGCAACGGCTCGTTGCTTCAAGCACAACTCTATTACCTTCTGTCAGGTCGGTTAATGCCACGCCGTCTCTGCAGACAGCAAAGTATTGCTTGCGAGATGCAAGCAAGAATAAATGATATAGATTTCCTTTTAGAATATTGTTACGGTGCTACGGGGTCGTAGCCTGTTGTGGGGTTCGAGTGCAAATACGTTAAGATCAAAAGGGGATTCGGTAACAACAAAATCAAATCCTGTATTTCTGTTCCTTACTACAAATATACATCACCAATAATGAAGATGCTACTCAGGTTTCTCGACACTCGGCATTCGGCGAGGCGAGGGGGTTCGGGGACGGAGAGCTCTCCTTGGCGGACGGCGAAGGGGTCCTTGCTCCTTCATGGGTATCAGGCCTGAAGTCGGGAGGTCGGGAAAACCAAAGACCTTATACTAAGAAGACTGGACACTGCGAAAGCAGGGAAACCGCAATGGCGGTCTATGCCCTGGTGGTTGGCCTTCGAACTAACGAAGTCTGACGCCATTTCTATTGCGCGTGACTGATGGACATGGCTGGCGGAAGACCATGGAGAGGAGAGGGGGGGAAAGCAATGTTCAGAGGATTTCCCGGGGGGTGGGGGGGTGCTATGATTCTTAAATTCAGACAGAATTGCAAGACGATGCATGCTGCGTTGATTACCTATGTAGCAAGGAATCAGTTTCTTTTTTGTTAATTTACGAACTGCATTATTTTCATGAACTGGAGATCGCTGAATCACAATGGCAATCTCACCTAGTGCCAATAACATTTTGGCTAAGCTGCCAGCAACGTGTGCGAGTAGAAGCCAGCTGTAACCTAACTGGACCCCAGGAACATGAGGCTGTAAATCCAAAGCAAAGCTGCACCCACAGCCTGTTTTTGTCCCTTCAAAATTGAAGTCATCCCATTCTAACAGGCCTGTCAATCCGAGACGCGAAAATGTTGACCTTTTCGTTAGGGTCATTGCGGTTACTCAGCATTTTATTTCATCCGCCTGTTACGTATATTGTAAAGCCATGACCGTAGGCCTAGTGCAAAGCCCTAGGTGAACACATGCGCGTGCCTTTCCGGATCCTTGGGAAACCGATGCAACGGAGC